TCTTCAACACTACGCTCTCTCAGCTATCTAATCACTCGCCACGTATTGAACTACGGCGAGTGATCAGATGATCGGTGGGCGGAGATCGCCGGACCCGCCAGCTTTGAGGCATGATAGGTCGCCGAGGTCAAATTTTTCCATGCGAATTGCGCGTCAGTTCGCACCCTCAGGAGGTCCGTGGGTCCCTCAACTAGGTGAATTACTCCTTCTTCGACCTTCATTCTAATCGTGAATTCGTCCTTTAAGGCAACATTCTAAGATGAAGGCATAACTGCGATACTACTTTCTGCTACTTTTTGCGTATAAAATGCCCTCCAGCGTTGACCTCACAAGTGGAGGTGAGCGCAGCGGAGGCATCAGCCTCACGCAGGGTATCGAGGTCCGAGCGGTTTTCTAATTCAACTTCGTAGTTTTAGCAATGTTTTCTATCCTGTAACCTTTTTATAGATGCAGGATACGACCATAAATCTCAATATTTATTCTTGGCATAAGAATTATTAATCACTCTCCAGTTTTGTTTTTAGAACAAGTGATTCAACAATGTTAAAGCAAGTTCACTGCTAAGCTTCAAAAGTTTGATAAAAAAACAAACTTTAAAGAGTCTTCTAATTAAACTTCTACAGTCTCAGTTTTCTGAACATTTGGGTAGAAAATTGCTATTGGGAACAGAAGACCCCTAAATTATAAATAACTATTTACAGTGCCTATTAAGGCTATTAAGAAGTATTTTATGACTTAGATCGAATTATAAGACGACCACTGCGGCATCACAATGAAAATGCCTAGATAGATAGCTTTCAAAAAGAAAGAAAAGAGAAGACATGTTTTGGGAACGAGGTGCTTCTCGCCACGTTGTTCTGCCTTCTTCACATCTTCCAGTGAATGTATACCGGTCAACACCAAGCAACTTGTGAAACCGTTCTCATTTGCAAACTGGATGTCCGTTTCGAGCCGATCTCCGAACATTACGGTCTTCTCCGGGTTAATATATGCCCTTTGCTCTTCAAAAAAAATCAGCCATTGGCCTATGCGGTTTTCCGAAAACTTTTGGGGCACGGCCGGATGCCACCTGTATGATCCTCGACGGATGGCCTGTAACGAGGAAGCTCAGTGCCTGGACTTGGCACAGGTAGTGTGCGAAGTCTTCGTCTGTCACCAGGAATTCAACAACTTCGTTTCGCCTCAAAAAGTAGGCTGCTTTCATGATCTTCGAGTAGCTGAGATATGGTTCGCGGCTCGAAACGACCGCTTTTGGGTTCTTTGAAAGATCTTCTGCTGAATTCCTTTCTAAATCTGGTCCTGTTCCAAACAGACAGACGTTACCTATGCTTTCCAATGTATTTTTAACGTTTTCGTTACCCAAAAGATATACCGGCTGCCGGGCGTAATCCGGCCGATCACGAAAGTACGCACCCATAACAAGACCGGGATTGATAACATTTTCTTCTGTGATGCCTTGAAATCCCATTTTCTCTATTCTAGACAAATATTCGTCCATCGATCTGTTGGATATTGCTCCACCAATAATGCATGCTTTCTGCCTTCTCGAGAGCAGAAACAAAACCTACGGCACCAGGAATGGGTGCGTCCTCTTCCCATAGGGTACCATCAGCATCTAGGAGAATCGTTTCAAACTTGAGCACTTCATCTCGTGAGATCGTCGTTGGAGGCATCGAAATTCTGAAGGTGTCGAATTAGCACACGGAATGAAGCATACAATCATTTACATGCGACGACCAAGGTTATGTTACAGCGGGGAGGGGGGACCAGGGAGCATTACCACTTAAGTATCAGTAGTATAAGCAAGTTTTACCTCTGCGAAGTATCCCGCTCTTTTCTATGTAACTATTTTAAAATCAATCTAGTCCGTACTACCAGCGATGTGCACCTTCCCCATCCACGGTTAGGCAGCACGGCAGCCATTCAAATCCCTCCTCTTTGGAGAACAAGAGCAGGAACCTGAAGCGTCAACTGCCTTTTTTGAACTAGTACTTTCTGCCTCGATTTTGTTTTTCATTTGAGAGAGCTGGAGGTATGCCCAAAAGCCAGTAATTACATGGAACTATGCTAGTGCTCTTGAGGGATGCTGACCGATTCCCTAGTCCAATCCGCAGATTAACAAGTGGACCTGAGGGCCATCATTGACACTTGCAGTAGACCTCCCCGACGCCCATAGGCAACTCAGGCTGAGCTAGAACATATATCCGGTTGCAGACCCGTTGAAAGGAATCTTCCACGAAAGACTGCTCATCCTTTCCTTGTGTACAGGTGTTGGGCATGGTCATTGAAGACCATGTGCAAAGTTCGGAGCGAAAATGATGAAACCCCCAAGAGAAACAGCCCTTGGAAAGACCCATCTGTGGGACCGGATTGGACCAGTAGGCGGGACCGGAAGTGCTTCTGTGACGAAGTGCGTGGCAGGTGCGGATCCACGTGTCAGTTTATGGGAAGGGCCCAACATGAATCCAGTTCACGTTCACGCTTTTGACACGTTTGCACGTGTTGACTCCACGCCGCTAACAGTTGTGGAAGTTTTACAGCGGGAATTCAAAATTTTCATAGTCGAACTGATTATCATAATTATTATCAAAACCATCGCTTATTTTCCGTTCCTTTTGCTATCTTCATGAGGCAAGGGCCTAAGGTATCGTTTTTTGGAGGAATGGAAGGCGATGTTTCTTCGCGGAAGATTCCTTTAAGCTTCCTTCAGCCTAGATTTCACACTACTAATTACTTTTTTCTTGAAAACGCTGGATTAAAATTTTTTCAAGGATCTGGACATGAGCGAAGAGCCAAA